ATCAGTGTTTGCGTTCACACTTTTGTCTGTTTCAGAAGTCTACTGGTGAAGAAACGTTTTTGAGTACTAGATCGTAGAAGCAACGGCATGTGTTTACAATTTTTATATATCCGTATACAATTACACATGTTTCATGGAAGTCTTTAATGCTGTCCTGTCAATACAACTAAAGAAAATACAATGTTTTTCCGTCTTTTACCTCAAATTGGCCTGATATTTCTCGACTTTTATTTGACAGAAACATTTTTATTCAAAACCAATGTTAGTTTCGAAACCCAGTCCGTGACTTGTTACTTCCATGAACTAAACAAATATGCCTCTTATATCGAATAGGATAATTACACCACGGAAGCTATAGGTTAAGTGTATCATACGCTCTTTTCTCTGCTACGAAAAAGATAGTTAACATACGAGGCTCTTTTATTAAACAAGAAAATAACACAAGAAAAAAATGCATTTTTTAACAAAAAATAAAAAAATGTTTAACACCATACACCGATACATTCACAAATAAATTTAAAAACGTTTCTGAACGTACGCAAATTGAACAAAAGAAGAACAAATAAAACAAAATAAAAAATGACATTTTTTAATTAATATAGAGGAAAACAAAGAATGTTGCTTGATTATTGTTTTCAACAACTTTCGAGCGAAAAAGAATACAACGGTGTAGTTTTATGCATTTGAGAACGTGCACATTTTGATATAAACTCATGTTAACTCAAGCTCAGGTATCAGATTTAGCTCGTCCGACGTTAAAAGTAAGTTTCCAAACCAAAATTTTTTCTTAGATATATACGTTAAAAATATGTCGGACACAGAATAAGTTGTGCTCTGTTCACCAATACACGTCCCAGATCGCTGACATGATTCAGGCACCGGACGATTTCTTTGAAGACATCCGTAAGTTCTCAGGTTTAAATTTCTAATAACGTCAAAAACGGGAAGAAACCCAGATAAATGTCCATTCTGAACATCGTAGCAACGGTTCTTCTATCCTTAACAATTTAGGAACTTGAAAAAACGAGCAGTCAAAATTAATGTTCTTCTGAAAATTTAGTCTTTTAAAAGCATTTACCAGTTATTATTTGTTTTTTCTCTCTCTCTTGATTGACAATGATTCAAACCACCAATCACCTGCATAAAAAATAAAAATAAAAATATCCTTCACAGTACTAAACAACGGCTGTAAAAATATCTGTTTTTCCTGAACATAGATGAAATTGGTACTCTACGCGGCTCTTAATGTTCTGCTTACATTACTTCGAAACTCTCCCAAGAGTGCAACAATTCTTCCTTAGGATCCTCGGATGCTGACGTCAAGTCTTTCTTGTCTCTTCTTTTTTCTGACGTTGTGAACTGAAATAGACAGAAGGCTTTTCCTGCTAATTCACCATTTCAGAAGTGTTCCTCGATTTGACGACGGCGTCTGCGTTGCCTACATCCCGACACAATTCTTCTTATGATCCAAAAATCTATTGAGCATTTCAGTCTATTTAAAAATACACGATTTATTTATCTATTCATTTGAAGCATGTTTTACCAAATAGAAAAATATAAACATCCGATCGGATCCGTAACCTATTTAAATTCATCGAATTTCAAATTAACATTTAACTGAAGTTTTAAAGAAAACTTTTTTGAAGTGTTAGAATAATTTTTTAAATTAAAGTAGAAACTCTTAGCTCTCATAAATAACTTTTATGCCAAAAAAAGCAAATCAAGTCACATAGCAGGTGGCGAGGTAGATAAACAGACATCATCGACTGTATGGTCCTAACTTACAGTCAATCGAATAAATTCACGTTTCACAGTCTAGAGTCTTTACAACTGTCCGAGTCCTTTGATTTCTTGGAACTTACGGAAAAGAAACTTACCTAACAAACTTCTCCACCATGGTGCCTGGACTTTCTCGTTACTCCACTTAAATCTTGCTTGTTCTACTGCTGCTTGTGCTTGTTTCGTTGCTTCTTCTGCTTGGTTCGTTGCTTGTTCTGCTCGCCTTGTATCTTCACGAGCAATTTGAAGCTTCATCAGCAATTGCCCTGTAGGTGACTCTAACTCCACCTAAAAAGAAACAAATTAAAAGGGCTCATCCTGCCTCTTTTCATTCTGATACACAGCTTTACAACGGGAAACTCATTCCACATCTGCTACTTACACTTCCCAAGTACTCTCTAATATCTTCATCAAACTTCTCTTCACTACGCATACCACCCCATCGATCCCTATACAATAAAAAAAGGCAACGAAAGTTAGTCCGTTGAAAATTAACAATCCAAGATTTCTTTACGTTGTTGTTGCCCTCGTCAACAATTCTTCTTTTTGATCTTCGTTTCGGCGAGTTCTCTCCGGCGACGACTCATACTTCACTAAAGGTAACGCGGCCATCTCACTAGAGAAATATTGTTAATTTTACATTCACCTATTGACATTAAAAACAAACAAAAGGAAGAAAATAAACCAGACTTACCTAGAACAGAACAACAATAACCGAACTTTCCCAGACACTAAAAATCCAATATAACACCGACTTAATTTCACCGTAATAGTGGATCTAAAATGAACAAATTAAATAGTTAAATACCACAAGTGAGATCGTGTAAAGTTTTCATAATTAGTTAATCGACACAGAAAGCTTTCCTTGATATGAAAAACGCGTTCAATTTCATGTTCGCTTCGGGTAATAGGAACGAGCGAAAGAAAAAATTGTGAAGTTATAGGATAATTTGTTTAACAAGAGCGGAAAGGTTCAGCTAGAGATATTTCAATATCGAACGAAAGCTTCTGCTATGCAAAAGAGCAAGAAAGAACATAAAGTAAACTTACGTTCGAAACTTTCCCAGACACTAATAATCCAATACAACCCAGACTTAAATTAAACCGTAACAATCGATCTAAAATAGATAAACAACACAAGTGAGATCGTGTAAAACTTAATCATAATTAGTTTGAATTTCATGTTCGTTTCGGGTAATAGAAACGAGCGAAAGAAAAAATTGTGAAGTTATAGGATAATTTTTTTAACAAGAGCAGAAAGGTTCAGCTAGAGAAATTTGAATATCGAACGAAAGCTTCTGCTATGCAAAAGATGTTTTATCAAAAGAGCAAGAAAGAACATAAAGTAAACTTACGTTCGAAACTTTCCCAGACACTAATAATCCAATGCAACCCAGACTTAAATTACACCGTAATAATCGATCTAAAATAGATAAACACTACAAGTGAGATCGTGTAAAACTTTATCATAATTAGTTAATCGACACAGAAAGCTTTCCTTGACATGAAAAACGCGTTCAATTTCACGTTCGCTTCGGGTAATAGGAACGAGCGAAAGAAAAAATTGTGAACTTGTAGGATAATTTGTTTAACAAGAGCTTACCAGCAAAAAGAGCTATATCTTCTCGCTTTACATCGTTCATAATAAGGTGTTTTCGAATGTTGTGTAGCCGTTTTAGTGTCGTTGACGATATCAGGGTACTACAAATTCCAATAAAAACTAACCAGTACCCAAATATCAAATAGATGACTCCCAAGTACATGTTTACGTGGAACACGCACTCAGCATGTATAGCGAATACTGGACTCCTGCCCCCGACACTAAAACCTGCAAAAAGAAAGAATAGGAAATAAAATAAAACTTCGAATACAGTTTCTCGTTATCCGTGGACCAAAACTACTAACACGTTGTTAAGGAGTACTTACCAACCCGTTCTGTTTCAACTAGACAATAAATCTTTGTAGGAAAATTTTTTGTGAGCCAATCCAATGTATATAATCGAATGCCGAATAAGATGTGTAATAATGTTAATTGGCCGACAATATTGATCAAATTCAATAATTTGATAAACAAATAACTAAAAAGGAGAAACACATTAATCATGTTTATGGATACAGCTTTACAACGGGAAACTCATTCCACATCTGCTACTTACACTTCCCAAGTACTCTCTAATATCTTCATCAAACTTCTCTTCACTACGCATACCACCCCATCGATCCCTATACAATAAAAAAAGGCAACGAAAGTTAGTCCGTTGAAAATTAACAATCCAAGATTTCTTTACGTTGTTGTTGCCCTCGTCAACAATTCTTCTTTTTGATCTTCGTTTCGGCGAGTTCTCTCCGGCGACGACTCATACTTCACTAAAGGTAACGCGGCCATCTCACTAGAGAAATATTGTTAATTTTACATTCACCTATTGACATTAAAAACAAACAAAAGGAAGAAAATAAAGCAGACTTACCTAGAAAAGAAAACTGTTATTTTCTGCTGTGGTATCGAAGCTGTTAATTGTTTTCCGTTTGTTGCTGAAGTAATAAAAATAAATGAGATGAACTCACATGCCTTTTCTTTTAACATGGATTTTGCTGATGGGTTGTCTAATTTTACTGTAGACGTTCGGAAGGCACTTAAACTAGCTTTTGAGATCTAATAAAAAATATTTTATTATTGTTGTAGTAAAGAACGTTTCTGTAATGAACATTAGCTTTGTGGTTTTAAGTGTCTAAGTCAAACGTTATAGAAGGAAGGCGTGTACTAGTGGAGTTTTTCTCAATCACATGACTTTGTGCTCAAGAAAGTCACATTTATTTATGTGATACATAATCTTTTTTGTCTTATGTGCTAGAGTTTCTTTAAGCTAAACATTATTTTTCGACATGATGAATATAACGAACTGAGCATGTATACATGTGTATTGAGTATAACAGTGTTTCGAAAGAAAAGTGACTATTATATGACAAGATACATGTGCTTCGTCCTTTTTTTTTAACGTAATATAAAGACGATTTCTCTGCGGTTTTTTGGGCGTATATGTGTGTTTTCTGATCTACTTGAAGTTAATTTATTTTACAAGATTACAAGGTACACAGCAATTTTCTAGAGGATGAGAGAGGAAGCTAAAAGAAAGAAATCCATTCTACTTTTCTATAGGCACTTAGGTTAAGACGATAAATTTTAAATCTTTTATTTCATGGCTCAAGTATGCTTTTATTTACCGTTAGATGAGTGAATAATATCTTATTGCTGACATCTAAGAGCCTTTATTCGAGTCAAGCATATTTTCTGTTGTATTTGCAGATTATGCTATTCTATCTACGACAAACAGTAGATATGCGTGTGCTTTTAATACAAACAGTAAAAAATATTAATAAGTAATAAAATGAATTGAAGCAAGTGGGTTTCGAATATTTTTCCGTGTAAAATACTCAAACCCTGAAAGCGCTCAAAATTTTCGTATCTGTTTGGAGGCACATGCTGGAAAAATTATAAGGATACCGACTGAATGTTAGAAGTCGTTGACTACTGAACGATACTGAAACGAACGTGTGATATAGAACATTTCGACTTTCTAACAAGAAAGACGGAAAGGATTAATTTTCTCCGTACTTTCTTACTCACTAACTAACCATACACTCATATTACAAATTACTGATTTTTTCAAGGTGGTCCTGTCCTGAAAAAGTTCAAAAAGGAAGTTCTAGTATAGAAATGGTCTGCATAAAGGAAATAAGAAATACCTTGTAAGTGGACAACATTGTTTTTTGCATATCCCATTTAAAACGAGTGACAAAAATTCAGATATATTCATTCAGTTACACATGTTTTACCCGGTTTTCTCTTCGGGAACACGATACAATTTACTCCGCGTTGAATTAGAGATTGGCCTTATTAAAATGAGTACACAGCATTTTTATTTCCAGCTTCTCTCTAGTGCAAACTCGAAGAGAAGGTTCAGATTTCTTAACTCTCTTTTCAACTGCTGTGTACTTACGCTATAGGGAGAGTGAATGTGCCTATTAAGATTAGATTCAGTACACTTCTGTCTAGTCACATACGTAAAAAAGCGTAAAACCTTCTTAGAAATTCATTATAAAAGAATCAAAAGAAGTCGATAAAACAAGTCCGTTCTTATTATGTTAGGCGAATTCACCCCATCATTCAACTTATTCAGTTTTACATTAGGGATGTTACAAATAAGATGAGTGAATAAAATGATTATTATCGCTTTCATATACACACGTGATCAGTGGAAAAGAAAATGAATTGTCTTTCCTTTTTATGTATCACATGTTCTTTTCTTATCGCGTGCATTTAGATTAGAAGGAATTTGCACATAACGACATATAAAAGTATCGACTAAATAGACTTTATTTCATAGGACTTCAACTGAGTGGATCGAATCGGTTAGCCGCAATTAAATCACAAAAACGATTGCAAGTTTTGCATTCACTTCCCAACTTACATTTCATTTTTGTTTCTCAAGTAGGGAATCTACCGATTCAATTAGGACCAGACTGAAGACATTTCCAACTTTTTTTTTTGCTGCGGTTTCAGTCTTTTGAGTTCAGTGTCTAGGTGAATCTGATGTTGATGACTCACCTTTATTGCATCATTTTTCCGAAGAGAAAACCGGGTAAAATATGGGAGAATTTGTATACTGGCTGTCTCAAAAACGTTTTTGAGAGAGTTCTCTCGCTTCTGTTTAAAAGTGAGTTATGGCGGAGAAAATCGAGAATTACGGACAGAATTCCGATTTTTCCGTTCCTGATTGATAGATCTTTGACTTCAACCTCGATCAAGTATCATTCTCATACTCAGTTTTTAATGCTCAATCGAAAAAATATACTTTCGAAATTTAGAAATATAAAAACGAAAAAGATTTAAATGTTTTTCAAAAACCGAAGGTTTTTCGACATTTGAGATCTTTCTAGTATTCTGAAGATTTTTCATTCAAAAATCAATACTTTCAAGCTAAAATGTAGATATTCGTGATCAGCGTCGAATTCTGCATCGAATGATACATAATAAATTAGAAAAAATCTTGCTCGAATTTTGAATTACATGAATAAAAAATTTAAGGCCTATCAGCATAGTGGTACGTGTCAGTCCTTCTTCGAGAAAATCGTGGATTCCCATTGTATCTTGCACCAATGAAGATATGAAACAAAATGGATAATTAACAAAATCATCCCTTTTATCCAAAATGGTAGATAAAATGGCGTTTTTTCTGACACTATCCACTTTTAAGTAAAAGCAATATATGCAATGAATTCCTCCCTTTATCAGCTATCGATTTCTATGTGAAGGAACTTTTGAATATAAACGGTTGCTGGGTGGAAGAGGTTGTATTAATACCAGTGTGTAATCGAAAATTATAGTGTCAATAAGAAATGACCAATGCCGCAAACGGACCGTTTTCAGAACCTAAAATTCGTAGCGTTTTAGGGTCTTAAATGAATCGTTTCTTCACGTTTACGGATCGTTTTCTAAACGTGTTCTTACCAATTACCATCGTGTTCGTTTCATTTTGATTGTTCGTCATATTTCTTCGAGAAAACATAACGACCTGTCACAAATATTTTTCATTGTTAAAAACATTATAACGAGTATTCTGAAGAATATACTGTATGATATACAATAATATATTGTGTAATTTGCAATATAATAAGATGCTAGTTAGTAAAATCATTCAAATTGTTAATGTTTATTGTTTTGTTAATGTTTTTACATCGAGATTTGAATGCATGGAGTTGAGAACTGAATCCATTTCTAACACTTTTTCCGTCACAAGTATTCAAGATAAATGGTATTATGCGTATAAATGGAACGCTGATTTTCTTCGAATATATATCGAGTTTATAACTTTGAAATTTTTCTCTTCCTCTAGTATATAAGTTATCGAAGCTTGTGTGAAGAGAGTAGCCTTATTAGACGTACCCAGTACTAGTGATAATACCATACTCCTGAGACTGGTAAACCATGGTTTAAACGAATCCAAAAAATTGAAAATATTCAGAACATAATATTTTTCAGTTCATGATCAAAAATAATGAAACTTGAAATAAGTCCTGAAAAAGGCCTAAAAACGACCAGTTAACGATAAAGCTTTCGACGACCTGGCGTTCCTACCCAGGTCGGACATAACGGTCCGTAAACAGCAGTAAACGATTGAAAAACGGTGTATTCACAGGTTATCGTATTTGAACCGTAAAGTACCGCAAACGATCATATACGACACGTTTACGGTACGGAGAAAATACGGACCGTAAAACTGTTCCCTATCATACGGTGAAATACGTTCCGTTTACTGCTAGTATTCTGACCGTTTGCGGCCGTAAATACACCTTTTTTCATCGTTAACTACCGTGAAACGGCGCGTAAACGGTATTCGTTTTGACCGACCTGGGTATATGATGATAGAAGCTTTTGACCGTAAATAGGCCGTTAACGGCTAGTTAACGGGCCGTTTTTAGACTGTTTTTTTGGACTTTATGCTAAAGTGATTTTGGAATGATTTTTCAATGTTGCATGACACATAGAGTACTTCAGGGTAATTAGAGACACTCTTGGAAGTTTTCGTTCTGGTTTTGCCATTTCTTGATCGTTTTTGATCGGAAAAGCTTGCTATGGAACACGTTGGTAGACCGAACGTTGTTCGACGCGCTCACGTAAAAATCTTTTGAAAATTTCCGACCAGTTTTTTGTCAAATCCAGGAGATAATTAGTTTAGAAATACCCCATTTCATAGCCCGGACTTCTCTCTATGCACCATATTGTTTTGAGCTCATTATCATTTATAGTCGTTCAGCTAATTAGCATATAATCAACAGAACTAGAAATTCTTTTTATGCTCTGGGGTAAATAGAGACACTCGTGTAATTGTGAAAACTACGGAAGATAACACCAAATTATCTGACATATGTCCCATTTCAAGGACTCATATCATCTTGTATATGCACGCTATGCCAATGACGCAATTCAACTTGTGACTTCCACAAAAATTGTTATAAGCCTCCGATAAAGAAATACTCAAAGTCGCCGAATATCTCATTTTGTAGAGAAATGTTTGGATTACAATCGCCTATACATAGAAATATTTCGAAGTTATCTGTAATGTTCGCATTTTTGTTAGAAATAGCTTCAGATTTCTTTTCGCAGCCGAGAGAAACATTTCTCTACAAAATGCGACGTTCCGCGACTCTGAGTAATTCTTTATAGGCGACTTATAGCAATTTTCGCTGAAGCTCGAACAACAGTTTTTAACTGATGCATGTCTACTGCTGTCCACAACTTTATATCATCTTGTATATGAGTCCTTGAAATGGGACATATGTCGGATAGTTGGGTGTGATCTTGCGTAGTTTACACCATATCACCGA